TCTTTCTTTCTTTCTTTCTTTCTTTCTTTCTTTCTTTCTTTCTTTCTTTCTTTCTTTCTTTCTTTCTTTCTTTCTTTCTTTCTTTCTTTCTTTCTTCAGGTGTTGATGGAATATATATGGCCTTTACTAGAAATTCATGGTACTTTTATTTGAACTTCAGCTTTACAAGCCAAGAGAATCTACTGTAGGCCCTTATTTTTCTCCTCCCACTGTATCTAACCAGGGTTCTAAATCCTTGGGAAATACTTGTCCTTTCTAAAACATGAATCATGCTTTTATTGGTGGACCTTATAGATCCTGTGGGGAAGGATCCTTCAGTGCCCTTTCTTGGAGTCTTTCAGTGTTGGTTCAGCTCTGGTGAATGCATTGCTTTATCAAATGAATGCGTTTGCTTCTKCTAGAGGAAAAGCTGAGATTTAGTRGTGTGATGTAGCAGTCGGAAGGGCTGCAGACAAGATCTTCTGAAGAATAAATGCAAGACCAGTGTGCCAGCCACGTGGCCAGCAGCAGGGCTGGCATCTTCACACCCTCTTGGGGTGAGCARGGCTGACGGATCTTGATTCCAACACTTGGAGGGAATCTCAAGCTCACTAAATGTCCCGTGCCGTGTTCCCTTAAAGTTGAYTGAGAGCATGGTAACCTTCTGAGAACATTCTCCTCCCCATCTCCCTAGGACGTGTGCTTTATTCTTTYAGGTATAAACCTAGATTGGAAAAAAGAAATTCTATGCAGCGGGAAGTGTAACTGATAGTCAGTTCTTTGGCTGTGGTTTGGGTGTACGAAAGAGCCAGGGGGGTCCGAGGCCCCGTGCACGTGCACATTCTCTCGGGATGCCGTCACATCTTCAAAGTCACACTTGAAAATCTTACATTCCCTGACTGTGTTTCTACAAATAATAGCTCTTTATAACGGGTGAGAACAATAATCCCCGTTTAATGGAAAGGGAAGATCCAAAGAGACCAAAGAGCAGCCTGTGCTCACACAGTGTCTCTGTGCCTGAGACGCAGCATGGCACTGCACTCCTGTCCTTGACTGTACCACTAACTTCTGGCTTATCTCATCCCCAGCTCCTCCGTAGCTCTTTTTCTCTCAACCGAGCCCGACAATCTGGCCCTAGGTTTGCCCAGAGACACTGAGGAGCTGTTGCCACCATTTTATCCTCTCCCTCTTCACTCAACAAGCCCATCCATGCTTCTGTCCTTCCATGAATCCCAGACATCCAGGCGCCCACCCATTCCAGGCTGCCAGGTCCCTGCTTCGCAGCTCGACCCTCTCCTCATCACTGAGCCACCGAAAGAGATTTCCCGAGCTGTTTTCCTGGGAGCAGTGCATTAGCTGAAGTGATGTACCAGTCTCTTGCCTGTGCATAATAAGAGCTGATGTGGTGTCCACCAGTTGCGGATGAAGCCGGGAGGGAAGGAGCCAGGTGGCTGGAAACCTTTCCTAGGTTTCCAATCCCAGCAGATGCCCAACAGAAGGCAAAGTAGCCCTTGCACCTGCCSCTTCTCCGGAGTGAGCCCGCAGGAGCTCTGGGTATCAAACAAATGCCCTGGTGAGCTGCGGGATTGGCGTGTGGCATCAGGGAGCACCATGGCAGCCCRTCTCGGAGAGCTGCTCCGCTCGGTCTGCCCTTTCCAACACAAACGGAGCTCTATCAGCTCCGTCCTGCAGGAATCCCATCGGATCCTCTTGGTCCCCGTTCCTACCTGTACTGCAGATCTCCCCGGGGTGTGGAGGACAGGCTGCATTGGGGTCACCAGGCTGGGACAGGGTGCTGCTGGCGGGGAAAGGAGCTGAGGTTTAACCTTAGTGCTGACACCCCTGGACATGCACAGGAATTTTTATAGGCATGGAGGGGAGTCGCTTCCTGACCTGAAAAATCAACTTGTGGACCAAAAGAACAGAAGAAGGTTAAACTCAAGAACTAGCTATTGTGTAATAGTATGCCAATATTTTTACTAGCTAGGAATATCTACAGCCTATTCTGCTCTCAAGGAYTTATGGAGGATTAAGCTTGCTTTTACTGTATATGAGGGATGAGGACTGCTTTTTTTTTTTATACTGTCGATTCTTTATCTCTCTCTTTTTTTCTTAATTTTTTTTTTCTTTGTGCTTTGGCTACATTTGTAATTGGCATATTCTCATTTTATTTTGTCCTATTATCTTTTACGGAAGCAATTCTCACTTCCCCCAAATTATCTTTGCAATGCAGGTAGTTTTCTCRTCATAACCTTCCCTTGACCTTGCTGTCAGACACAGCACATCCCTGTCTTGTGCCAGCACACACAGTCGCACCCATGTAAATGGTCTGAATTCACGTAAATTAGTCTTGCTCTTCCTCGGCTTTGCTAGGAATTTCTCCATATTGATGTTGTGCCTAATGAGCTGGCCCCATTTTGCTGGACCTCATTAAACACCTAACAGAAGAAGGGCTGTCCAAACAGCCTTTATTTTTTTTTTTTTTAATTTTACCTAGTTTAATTTTACCTGTTTAATTTTACCTAGTTAAGAGGCAAAGAAGGGAACTTAATAACTCGGTTCCTGCTGGTGAGTCCAAGCTCATCACAGGTGAGAAGATCATCCCATTGCTGGTGCATWGCCCCCTTCCCCGCTCCTGGCACCTCCCATCTCCAGAGCTTAACCAGGACATAAACCCTTGGCTGGATGGAGGAAGAAAACGCAGGATAGACYCAATAGCACTAGAGGGAGCTCAGGCCATGAATTGCTAGAGGAGGAGCAGGCTGCTGGTGAGGATGGAGAGATCCGTCACCTGCCTGGTGCTCCCCTTGCAGCGGGACACAGCGTTGGTGCCTGTGCAATAGGTGCAGTAGAGAGAAAAGTTGGATAAAAAATGAATTATTAGTGTTAATTGCATTGGGTGTGCAATGGGACGTGAACAGCACAGCATCAGAGCATGCTGTACATACATATTCACGTATGTTGAGGGATTCATTGCTCCTTTTTAGGTAGCGTGGTAGTTATTTAGCCCAAGATCCTATGAAGACAATGAAGCGCAAGGCAGTGAAGCACATCCTCTTCACAGGATGAGACCCTGACACAGTTTTTTGCATCTCTMACACTTTATTCACTTCTTAATTCGCAAAACTCAGCTGTTTTCGATGTTACATCCCAACATTAATACTAAAGCAGTGAAGCTTGATGACCTAGTGGTGAAGACCATACCTGAGTGAATGAACTGGCTGAAAGGCTGAAATCCCACGCGGTGGGGAATAGGGGATGAAATCCCATGTGGTGGGGAATGGGGGATGAAATCCCACGCGGTGGGGAATGGTGGATGAAATGCCACGTGGTGGGGAATGGGGGATGAAATCCCACGTGGTGGGGAATGGGGGATGAAATCCCACGCGGTGGGGAATGGGGGATGAAATGCCACGTGGTGGGGAATGGGGGATGAAATCCCACGCGGTGGGGAATGGGGGATGAAATCCCACGCGGTGGGGAATGGGGGATGAAATGCCACGTGGTGTTTGTCCCCGAGGGCTCCAGCTCCAAAGCCCAGGAGGGAGGAGGGCGGCAGCTTCTGGGTGTCGTGGGTGGGAGCGAGGGGTGGGTTTGCTGGGTGGGGGGGCAGTTCTAGGTATTTCTTTTTGGGGCCAGGGCTCCTTCTTGCTGGGACACCCAGGGGTGGTGGTGCTGAAGGGACAGCTCCGCTCCAGGGGTCCCACTAAAGGGACAGCTCCACTCCGGGGGTCCCGGGGTCCCACTAAAGGGACAGCTCCATTCCAGGAGTCCCAGGGGTCCCACTAAAGGGACAGCTCCACTCCGGGGGTCCCGGAGTCCCACTAAAGGGACAGCTCTGCTCCAGGGGTCCCAGGGTCCCACTAAAGGGACAGCTCCGCTCCAGGGATCCCGGGGGTCCCACTAAAGGGACAGCTCCACTCCGGGGGTCCAGGGTATCCTACTAAAGGGACAGATCTGCTTTGGGATCCCGGGGGTCCCGCTGAAGGGACAGCTCCATTCCAGGTGTCCCAGGGGTCCTGCTAAAGGGACAGCTCCACTCTGGGGTCCCAATAGAGGGACAGCTCCCTTCCAGGGGTCCTGCTGAAGGGACAGCTCTGCAATGGGGGTCCCGAGGGTTGTGCTGAAGGGGCAGATCCCTTCTAGAGGTCCTGCTAAAGGGACAGCTCCGTTCCAGGGGTCCCACTGAAGGGACAGCTCCGCTCTGGAGATCCCGGGGATCCCGCTAAAGGGACAACTCCTTTCCAGGAGGTCCTGCTAAAGGAATGGCTCCGCTCTGGAGGTCCCGGGGGTCCGGCTGAAGGGGCAGCTCCGTGCTGGGTGTCCCAGCGCCGCATGGGGCAGGCTGGAGCCAGGGTGGCCCTGGGGGGCTCAGGGCTGCAGTCCCCGGGCTGTTTCCCTGGCTGCTAATTGCGGCTGGTGCCAGGCGGCAGCGGGACCCCGCGCCACCCC